TTTTCTTGTAGTACCACTGTTGAATAGAGGCTCGAAAAAACTCCATTAACATAGTAATGGGTAATTTCCGGGAATGACGACTTAGAGCGTTGATTGATTCTGCACTATTAGACGTCATGAAACCATATCTTGCTCCAAGTTGATGTACTCTTGACCATCTTTCAAACCCGACATCTTCTAGTGTTTGAGCACACTGAGGCAAAACACGTCTTAAACAATTTATATGCTTATTGAAATCCACTTCCCGATAAGCTTTTACAGCCTTCCAGTATGTCCATTTGTGCTTTTTTATACCAGCAGACCTTGATTTTAGATTTCTATACAAATGAACACCACAAAGTCCATGAAAGCATCTGGGAAACACCTTCTAACAGCGTTGTCAATTGAGTTTGCCCTATCGGATATGATTGTCAGATTGCTAATAGGACCTATGCAATCCCTAAGATGCCCCATAAACCATGTCCATGAATCAGAGGTTTCAGATTTGCCAACCCCGTAAGCTATTGGCAATATCCCATTGTTAGCATCCATGGCTACTGCTAATAAGTTTACTCCAAGGTATCGACCTTTCAAATGTGCTCCGTCAACTATAATAACTGGGCGCATGCAAGTAATAAACGAACGAATCTACAAAATAATATACACAAGAAATATAATCATTTAAATGTGAAATGCATGTAACTAACAAAATGAGTCAACAAAATTATATTGATTTACTAACCGTAGCACCAATGGCGATAAACAGCAACTCAAAGTGTCCATCTCTATCTGTTTTGATATGAGTTACCGACCCAGGATTTTTCAGCTTTAAATTGTGACAATAAGCCGGCAGTTGGGCAAACGATGCTTCTGGCGACCCCCTCAACAATTCCAAGGCATAACATTTGGCTCTCCAAGCTTGAGAATATGATATACTAATCTTGAACCGAGCATTCATGTCAGTCATAATTTCATGTCCCCGATATACCCTGCCATTCAAAAACATTAACTCAGCCAGAAAACCACCCAACACCTTTTTGTTTGCCTGTCTATGGTGAGGAAAAACTTGGGTTCTTGAACATGTATGTTTATCAATAAAAGTCCTAACTTGAAACATTTCGCAATCTTTTGTTCTCTTTGCAATCATACGCCACGTACAGTTTTTGTCAATCATACACCTTGTTTCGAAATGATCTTTGCTTGATTTGTTAACTTTTAGTTGATAGCCATCTTCCACACATTTCGTATACAAAGCTATCTTCAAGTCTTCCTTTGTATCAAAACAATCATCTTTCTTGATACGAATAACTTTTGTGTAACAATCAACTGCTTTCTTTACCAGCTCTTCTTCCGGTATCTGAAGTAATTCTGGCATATTCCAGTTATACGCCCGTGGCATTTTCTTTTCTTCGGGGACTTTTTCTTCTTCTTTTTCTTCTTCAGGATTATATGAATTACAGAATGGATGTTCAACATGTTCATTCACAGTCGTAACTTCCTCCTCATTATCATCAACAATACATTCTTCGGCAACGGCTGTTTCATCATCAAAATTCGGGTATTGACCAATATCAAAATCATTACACGCAGGGTATGTTTCTTCTTCTGAAACATCATCAAAATCCGTGTATTGACCAATATCAAAGTCCGGATATTGACCAAGACCAAATTTCGAATACTAACTAGTACTCACAATTTTTTCTGTTGGCTCATCATCGTCTAACTGGTCAATACGAAAACCGGAATTTGGTGCTGAAAGTTGATTGGGATTTGGATTAGAGAAAGTTTGTGGGTTTTGAGAAAAACTTAGTTGATTACTACCCGCTACTGACCCAACAATACTACTTCTAGGTTCAACAACATACAATGTAACATCATCTTGTGAAACACTAATGTAAGCAATGAATCGTTCAACATCTTCATTGTCGGTTAACAAATAAACTTTACCATTTCCCTTATAAGATAGCCTAAATCCACTTAGGGGCTCTAAATTCAATTTATTTGAAACACGTAGCATTAGAGTTTCATAAGTTAACTTTTGTAAAGACAATTTTAGTTGAAGATTCATGGGTAAAGGCATATATTGTAAAACACCATGAACATTATCCCATGACCCTCCAAAACACAAATCTATCCAAACATGATCAACATTAGATGATTTCATGGTTGTAAATTAATTTACTAAACAGACGAGCTGCGAAACTAAAACCTGTTGCCGGATTGGGAAGGATGTCGTTGGATATAGGAACGGATGTCGCCGGAGAGAGTGATAGATGGAGATGGAATGAGTTGCGATTTAGGGATTTAGTTTATGATTTGCTGCTGTTGCGTAGTTATATACCCAAAATTTCAGTGTTGTGATTTACAGATTCTCGTTGCGATTTACGGATTCTCGTTGCGATTTACAGATTCTCGTTGCGATTTACGGATTATCGTTGCGATTTACGGATACGCGTTGCGATATACGGATACGCATTGCGATTTACGGATACGCGTTGCTATTTACGGATACACGTTGCGGTTTACGGATACGCGTTGCGATTTATGTGTTCGCGTTGCGATTTTCATATTCGCGTTGCGATTCTTGAAAATCGCAATGCGAATTTGTACTATCGCATTGCGATTTTCAAGAATCGCGTTGCGATTTTGGAAACTGATTTGCGATTCTGGGGATCGCGTTGCGATTTTTATTTCGCGTTGCGATTTTGTTGGTCATTTTGGCAAATCCAAAAAAAGTTGGTTAAAATCGTATATTATAAGGCATTTTTGGTCACTGAGGCGATTTTCTCTTATTTTTAAGGTATGTTTGGAGTAATAGTTCCACTCAATTTAGTAGGAGCTTCTAATCTAAAAAACCAAAAGTCATCAAGATTAATTGTTGCTTAATTATTTTTTTCAATTCTGAACCCCTTTAAGAATTGAAGCAAATCATTGAGATACATCAAAGTGAGATTCATCAATTGTAATTATTACACGTATACAAATAATTAAATGAGCTTTCAAATATCCCACATGATTTAATGTAAAAATATTTTTTTACTGACGTGGCATGTAAATTATATCTAAAAACGTTAGATGACTAAGAACTCGGTATTACTTTAAAATAATGTACATAATATAATCAATCTACTATGTCTTCTAATAGCATTTATATTACAACAATGAAGCACGTGTCTCATATTTCGAGCATGGCTCGATTTACTCCAAATTATAATTCGGATTTCAATTCACAAAGTATACATGTTTATGTATCAACAAGAAAATAATATATCTAAATAACCGATAAAGTTCACCGAAAATTACTTTATTTATTGTCATATGAATGATTCATCAATAATGGAGATTACTATCTCCATTCATGTGATTGTTGCACCCGATGTCTAAATACCGTGAGTGCTTGTTGGTCGACCCTTTTTCATGAGAGACCATCAGCAATGATATATCTCCAACTTGCTCTCCCTCATTCTATACACAATTGGACCTTTCCCCATGTGCACCTGACAGTTTTTCAAATGGCTATACTTGTGACACAGGTAGCATTTGACATTTGACTTGTTTGATAATCACCTCGTCTTCTTCCTCATGTTCTATTGATTATCACAATTTCTTCTACCGCGACCTCTATTATGATCTCTGTCTCAGCCTCTATTGTTGTTTCCATTTGATCTATGATCTCTGTCTCAGCCTCTATTGTTGTTTCCATTTGATCCATGTTCTCCGTCTTCTTTACTTAAATGGTTTAATGAAACTTTCAATGCTAACTCTGCATTATCCTACTGTAACACTTTCCTTTTATGAATTAGTATATGAACCTTACAATTGATCAATGGATAAAATATCAATAATCTTTTACCTTTCAACTGAACGAATCACGTAATTAAACTTTTGTGTCATTGAGCAAAGATTTTTTTTCCAACTATAATCCCATTCTTTGAATAGTCTGTAGTAATTATATGGTAGTACTTGTTCATAACTTTCTTAATCTATTGACAACGCACACCTTGTAGACGCCACTGATTGAACCCAGGATATTTAGAGAGATCAACATGCTCTTTCACCATTAAAGTTACCACTATTATTGTAATGTAAGAAATAAAAATAACAGCATAAATAAAAATCGTATTTGTACAAAAAGCTTGTATAATTGTGTTAAAGGAAACACAAGATATACAGAGATAAGCATTACAACATGGCATGTATTTGTTTGACAGTTTATAATCAAATTTGTTTGATTTTATTTTTGCAAGAAAAGTTGGTGAGAGTAGGTCGCATCTTTGAGCATACTCTTCAAGGTTTCAATTTTGTTCCTCCATTCATTGAATGGTGCTTTTGCCTAAACTTTGATGATCCATCTCACTTTAATAATGGCATGTCGATGGTCGGTGTCTTAAGATAGACCCGAGTGATTTGGCTATATTTATCCGCAGCAGCAGCATGCTAGTACAATTTTGTTCCTAAAAAATATTGGTAATCTGGCACTCATATTTGCCATTATCTCCAAATATGTCAGCGTTTTTATTGTATAACATAAAGTTTTGGGTGCCTGTCTTCATTAAAGTAACACTGAAATCATATAAACTCAAATAAATCACAAACAAGCCTCAAAGTAACAGGAAATCTAATCATACAAACTTAAATAATTGTTAAACAAATCTTAAAATGACATTAGAATCAAATCACACAGAGCCATAAATCAAGCAACACTCACAATTTCACTACTTAAAGTTATAGATAAAACTCAATAGAACTATTTTCTCAAACAACTTGTAATGAAATGTCAAGTCCTTTGTGAATTCCTTGAGTTGGATAAAATCTCCCGACCTTTCAATTTGAGGAATGCACATCTACAATCACAGAGAACATTAGAATTTTTTTAAAAAATTATGATTAAAGTAAAAACTGATTCTTTAATTATTCAGAGAACTTACTTGAACGATTTAACGATCAGCGACATTTGAAGTGGATAATAAAGTTGCATGTAGACTCTTCACACTTGTAAATTTCTTCGAGGCAAAGCTTACCACAATGAGAGCATTCAGGGTAGCCCTCTATCTTCTGAAGAAAAATAAGATCATGATCATGTGGGTTGATGTAATAATCAGACAATCTGGTTCCATCCTTGAGAAATGAAAATTTTCCAAGAACACAATTGACATGAGCCGAAGTATCACATTTTGGACAATGATAATACTGAAGACTTGGATTTCTTTTTTCTTCACAGATATCACAATAACAATGATTTGGATAATCATTATCATCATGAGAATTAAGGTATAGAATGTGTTCATCTGATTTGTGACGAGTTGAATGTGGTAATGTTACACATCGAAAATCCAAAGCAAAACTGCACTTTCCACATCTGAATGCACCATTCCTATGCCAATCGTTGCCACAACCATTACACGGCTTCTTCTTGCATTTGAAATCAAAAAAGAGAAAGTGTTGATGTGCTTGCGATTCAATGATATCAGGAACTTTAGCACACCTTAAGCAAACATCGTAGTATCCTTTAATTTTGTAGAAGAAACCACTACATGGTCGGTTGCACATGTCACAAAATAGGAAGTCTCTGGATTGAAGAGTGGCATTGGATCGATGGAGCCAAAGAGGCTTGATTCTTGGCAACTCAGAACAATGTTTGTGAAGACAAAAATGGCAATCTGATTCCGAGCAATGATAGAACAGATTAGTTGAGACAGGCAGCATACACCCATCACATTTTCTATCAGTTTTCTCCTCCATCTTGTCTGCTAACACCAGGCAATGACCTTCATGGATGAAATGCTCAATCTTTGTGGCATCTCCATCTTCATTCACCTCAATAACACGAGTGATGGAAGACTGCGTAGCCGCATTAAGCCCCTCACATTGGCATTCTTGCTCAATTACGTCGTACAAATTTGAATTGTCTTAAGGCACAATTCACATGGACAACGTAGTTGCAACCTGGCTTCACACAAGAGTAACTCCCATGCTCTACTTTCACTTCTTCAAAACAACTCATGCAATCTTGCCTTACAAGCTTTTGTGTTACAAGCGAATATTTGTGAAAAAGGCAATGAGCATGTCGTGAAAATTTGATAATACGTGGGAGTTTTGTGCAGTCTTTATGGACCATGATGCTGCATGCGGGACATATATAAGAAATAGAATTCCCCTCGGTGCCACATGCATCACAAATGAATGAACCTTGTCTCCAAAATAAGGTGAACGCATGTTGATGGTGGCTTTTATCTTCAACAACAGACCTTGCCCATGCACATTCAATGTTGATGTTAAAATTACAAAGAGAACAAGAATAAAAATATCCAGAATGTTGTGTTTGACATAGCTTGCAAAAGTGAGCATTCTCAATAGACTCAAGAGAAAGAGGGTGTTGGCGATGGGAAGGGTGATGAATTATTGTGGATAACTCATCAAGGCATTTCTTATGAATGATAAAAGGACAATCAACACAAACATATAATGCATCAAGCAACGGTTGATGACAACAAGAGCAATATGATCTTTTGTGTTCATCCATGGGAGTTTGAATGAAGGTCAATGGATGTTGGTGGAAGTCATGTTTGGACTCTGGGTTGACCTTGTTATACGAAGAAGATAAATTAAAACATTTGATGTCAAGGGAAAACCAACAATGACGACATTCATAAAAGAACATGTTACGTTTTTCCTTGCATAATGCACAACCATATACATACTTAGAATCAGGATAGGGCCTTTTTCTAAGAAAAAAACCTGGGTGCTTGGGATGGAGAGGGTGATTGGAAATTGAAAGCGGTGCCTCCGCACATTTCTGATGAAGGTGATAATTACAGACTGCACAACTAAAGCATGGACCTGAAACCATTTCGCAGCATCCATAACAGTAAGCTTTGGGATCAGCTTCACTGTTTTGCTCTTCCACAAACACCAAGGGATGCTCATGGAACTCATGCTTCATCTCTCTCTCATTTTTCATCTCCATTTGTGTTTTTTTGAGAATTGAATATGGGATAGCAGTGAATGACAAGTAGATGTTCAAACAATGAACAACAATGTCTTGAAAAGACAATTTGAGGAGAGAAAAAAAACCATGTCTTGCTGATTAAAAAGGACAAAGTTGGTAGTTCAAACGAAATAAAGAATTTCTTGAGAAGAAAGAAAGTTGGTAGTTCAAACAAGTAAAGAATTTATTGAGAAGAAAGAAAGCTGATTGTTAAAACAAGTAAAGAATTTCTTGAGAAGAAAGCAAGTTGATCGTTAGAACAAGTAAAGAATTTGTCTCCGACGATTTCGATAATCAAGTTGGAGTAAATGATTGAATGAACAGTTAAATAAGGCTAAATTATTAATATTGAATAATGAATAAACCATACAACATATTTTGCATAAAGATTAAAATAAGCTTTATAGTCCACTCACATTTGTTTTTTATCTAGTCAATCACATTTTTTTTTTTATCTAGATTGACTGTCTGTCCTAGACTTTCAACTATATTGACTTTGAATAGCCTATGGTGTTTACATGTTGGTATATATTCATAACCTTTTTAATTTATTGAGAATGCGTTGTTTAAAGATATGATCTTTAGAGAGATCAATATTCTCTTTTATCATTTAACTCCTCGGAGTTGAATGAGAAATCGTAATTGTACAAAACTAGTAGAGGAATTCAACTTGTTTATTCTATAAGCAAGAGATTCTTTAAATAGGTTATACAAGAGCAAACAGAAAACATGAAAATAACACCTAAACTTTTAGAGAGCATAATAACAAAAATCAAAACCAACTACAACAAATATCTAAAAATATTCCTCAGTTAATGTAAGTGGACCAATTAACTTTTGTTGGCTTTACTTGTAGCTGTAGGCCAATAATGATTCCCCCCCTCTGTTTTTGAGGCCTTTAAAGAGCTTATTGATAATCATTTTATCAAATTAAATAAAGTTTGGAATTTTGCCAAAAAAATATATTTAAAAGTAGAGTTTAGATTAAAATTTTGAAACTTTTTTCCCTTTGATTTAAAACTACTTCTTCTATCATATTTAAAACTGTTTTTTCCCTTATTAGAGGTAATTGGATCTGGGACAATATCAGGGATTGTAGGGTGAAGGTTAACTGGCACAGGCTGATCTGGTTTCCTGCCCATATTCCCAAGTTCTCTCTTATTTCGTGGATGGTTATCCTCGATAGGCTGCCTACTAAAGATCGGCTTGTTCGGTTCGGCTTGGCTATTGATAATGTTTGTGGTATGTGTGCCTCTAGTTCTGAATCTCGTGATCACCTTTTTGTTGAATGTTGTTTTGCAAAGAAAGTTTGGGATATTGTTCTAACTTCCTGTGGTGTTTGTTATACTCTGACCAACTGGGAGGATCTTTTCAATTGGCTGATAGCAAACTTGAAAGGCAAATCCCTCAGAATTCGAATCTTGAGGCTCGCTTGGACTGGTCTGCTGTATTCGGTCTGGGAAGAGCGTAATCACAGGCTCTTTAGACGCTCATCTCGCTCGGTTGATGCTCTTGTTAATAGTATAAAGTTAGCTGTTAGAGTTAAGTTGAGTAGATATGGCAAGCCTAGGATTGATGATGTTAACAGGCAGTTATGTTTGAATTGGGGTTTGTTTTGAGGTAACTTGTTGATTGTAGTAGCATGTCTGTTTTTTCTTGATGGAATATAAATTACTTATCCAAAAAAAAAAATTGTTTAACAATTAGTCAGCCAAAAGGGTTGGAGACAGCTCAACAGGAAAGAATATAGTTGTTTTCTAGGCTCGAGTTTGGTCATGTCTTTTTGTCACATAATCTCAAATATGAGTTTCTCTTTCTTTTTTCATCATTCGAGGTTGTTCAGATTTTATAGGTATTATAATAATTAGGGTTGTATAAAAAAGTCCGATCTGATAATTCGATTCAGTGATTCGATCTAAAAATTTAGATATTCATTTTTTTTGGATAATGGGATCGGATACGGATCAAATAAATACTAATTTCAGATTATCCGAAAATATAAAAAATTGAGATTTTAGATACCTTTATCCCAATAAATGAGTAACACACTAACCCATTAAACTCTTACCCAATAAAAATTAAGATATTTAATTATTTATTGTGTGTTAGTAATTAAATATATAAATATATAAAATATAGTAGATGTATCAAATAAGTTACATTAAATAAATAAAATTTAAAATTATTTTTTGCCAAATTAAATTTTATATCCGATTTAAATTTTTTTGTTAATTATCTAAAACTAGGTATGATCAACAAAGGACTAGGTATGGAGAGAGAAAATGAAAGAGATTGAAAAGGAATTGTATTTTTTTATTTTGTAATTTAAAATTTAAAAAAAATCATAATTTTTTTCATTTTGTTTGAAATTTATATAACTTCTTTAGATTTTTAAAAATTAGGATTAAATTGTTATAATGCGTAAAGATTAAAAATAAATATTTTAAATATAAAATAATTTGATGTAATACATCACACTTGTATAATTAGAAATAATTATATTTAAACATGATAACTTAATAATCTTTCAAATATACCCTTAATTGATAATAACATATTCTCATTTATTATAAAGTTTTTAAACATTAATAATTTTGTTATAGAAAAGAACCCAATGGCTTTAAAAATAAATTGGAATGTTATTATCTTTAGAGGTATTGAATTCGTGTAGTTACGTCTGCAGGCTATGTGCGTTGTTAATAGGTTAAAGAAAGTTCTGAATATATAAAACTCCGACTATCAAAAAAAAAACTTTATTATAGAAAGAGTATGGCTAATATTTTCTTCTTTAAAGGCTCTCAATCTTTTGATAATAAATGCTCGTACTTCTTGCATACACATTGTTCAAACTTGAGACTTCAAATAATAACAACAAATTCATTAATTATTGAATATTTTGAATAATCTACTGTGGGAAATCTTGAAACATATAAAATAAAATCAGATAAGAAGTGGAAAGGGATAATAATGGAGTAAATATTGTTAATTTCGTTGTTGTTTTATCGTAGGAACGTTTAGTTTATTATCTGTCTATATTATCGACAGAAAAAAATAATAAACTTGTTAATTTGATGTTAATTATTTCATTTTTTTAAATTAATATTTTTATACAGAATTTTTATATTTCAGAAAATATTTTGAAAATCAAATCTTACAAAATATTTAAATTATTAAAAGTTATAAACATTTATAAAAATTACTATAAAAATATGAAAAACTTCAAAAAATATTAAAAATATGAAAAAATATATTATTTATTGTTAATTGATTTAATTTGACAAAAACATATGAATTCGAGGGTAAAAAAATCTTTTTTTTAAATATTAAAACAACTTTTAAAAAAATATGGTAAACTATACGTTTAATACTTAAATTATCACTTAAATTATCACTTTTGTTGTATTTTAATATTTAAACTTTATATTTTTTAAAATTATATCTAACGTTCAATTTAACTTTCAGTTTAGTACTGGATATTGAAAACTTAACAACATCAACGATTTGGAATTATTTCTCTTTTTTTTTAAATTTCACGCGTGTTTTCATTATCTACAATATTATTATACGTGAAAATGTAGAATATTAAGTATATGAAACTCTAAAATTAAAATGAGTTTCTTATTTTTTCTAAATCGAGGAAGGAGTAGGGATGGTCAAAGTATTTGAATCCGATTTGATTTTATAGGGATTTTTTTTTATTGTGGTTCGGGACGGGACAGGACGGGTTATATACTAAGTTGGTTCAGGGTGGGGCTAGATTTAAGGTGAAAAATCATTGACTCGGCCCGATATAAAATATATAATATATTTAAGATTTTAAAGATTTTTATTTTTTTAATGTTAAAATATATTATTTAATTTTTAAAATATAATAAATTATTATAAAATATATTATTTTAATAATTTAAATATAATAAATAATTATAATTGTATTATTATAAAATATGTTATTTTAATTATTTAAAATATTGATCTATTCGGATCTAAGTCGAGGTTTTAGTCTAAAATTCGAGCTGAGAGAATATTCGGATCTGAGTCGAGGTTTTTATAACTAATTTTAAATTTTTTATTTCCTTTTTTTTAAAAATATATCATTATTTATAAAAATTAAAAATAAAATATATTTTAATTTATTAAAACTATGATCAAATTGAAAGAATATATCAATAACATGGATTATTTGTGTAATTATACCATCCAGATAAGCATGTTAACAGCAGTTAACAGGCCACGTGTGTTTTCCGTCACGCCAGTTAACGACGAGTGACCAATTTGTAACAAACGATAATGATAATGACCAAATTGTAACTTTTGAAACATCAGTGATGAAAACAAAAATTTACCTAAACATTAGTCGTCATTGGTGTAGTTTACCCTATTTAAAATTATCGGAATGGAACAGGATCAGGTTTTAGTAAAATATTTTCGGATCGAGAAGGCCATAAAATCGGTCCACCCCTTCTCGCCCTATGCCCATCCCTAAAAAAAACAATCATCTTTATATTTTTTTAAAATCATACATATTATTCGTTGCGGTCATATTTCTCTTTTTTTCTTTTATTCGTTTCCATGGCATTTCACCATAACAACCATCTTTTCCTAAACCTTCCTCTCCATCACTTCACCGACGAGCAATAACAACAGCAGCAAGCGGAAACCACCGGCCCCAATCGATAGAACACTGTCTTCCTCCGTTCACAGCAGCCTCAGCCGCACGGTGGTCAATTCTCTGACCATGGTTTACTCAACCTTCATACTACCGAAACTGGTTCAGACTCCACCTCCACCGTTCCCCAAGCTTCAACCCGGTGGCTGTCATTTCCGTCGTCTTTGCTTCTTCACCACGGCCACAAAGGCGTCATAGAAAACGTGGATGCCACCGCAGGAGTAGCAGGAGGCGGTAGTGGGGACTCCTTGAAGCTTCATCATCTGCCACCATTGTTGTTGAGTTCCATCTGCATGGAACATTAATTGGCCTGCACCACATTTGTTC